TATCTGTGTGTCATGTCGCGTTTGGACCACCGGAAGTTAAGGATTTAAGAATTAACTATTGGGTTGGCTGTGTTATTACATGACCGGAAGCTTTTAAAACGTATAGATGTACGAATATCGTATCAATGACTTAGCTGGTTTTTCTCAGGCTTTCCAGGAGTAATAATGAAGTGTAACAATTAGTCAATATAATGATAAAATTATGCTCGGGACGGCAATAACCACTAGTCTAAAATTCATTGAGATTCAAGAAAAAAAGCTGTAGTCACCATGTTGGATGAGCAAACCACAGGCACAGTGATATTTTCAACTTTATTTCTTACTTTCATCCAACATGGGTACAAAAATTCTGAAAGCTAAAAATTATCATTAATTATGGTATAGGATTAGGAGACTTAGGAGTGTAAGGTTTGGAAGGAGATTGCGACATAATGTGTTAAAGGAATAGCAAGCTAGGATATGTGCGGGTCGTTTGATGGTACCTACATGGGCGACCGTGAGGGAAGTAGGTACTTGGGGAAGGCCAGAGTGATCCCCATACCTTATTCTAGTAACAATACCCAGGGAGAAAATAATACACTATTGAAAATGATGACCTCGCGCTGCGCGCTCGGTCATTACGTTATGAAACATCATTTCCATATTTCTATTTTTAGCTTTATGTCTAGTAAATTCCAATATGTTCTAGAATGTTCTAGTAAGCTAGTCATCTGGTTATTGTTTATTATACCTGTGCCTTTGCATTAGTCAAACAAACACTTCCTTTTGACATAATCATGATTAGAGTAAGATAAAATATTTATTTCATACAATGTCTTTGTTAGCTGTTTCAAAGTTCGYATAAGATTCTAAGACATCCTCTTCCAAATAACTTAGGCTATTATCACATAGGCAATGGTTTTCCACATTAGTTTGCTTGGATTATATATGAACTTTAGCTATGTTAAAACACTAGTTGCGACTTGCGACTATCTTAGGTTTCACTTGCTAGATCTTTCAATAATGTCCAACTTTCATTAAGCTTTCTGATAAGAACATAAATTGACAACATAATGAGATTACAAGTTACTTGTTTATTTCTATAGTAAATATAATTTGGATTTCCCATCTAATTTTGTAGGATGCTTGCACGCAACTTGCATCGTTGTAATGTTACTGCTAAATTCAGCTAAACCCCTCCTACGAAAGTGTACACCTCGAGCGACGCCCTGTCGCCCATCGCTCGTTYAAAACCTTGTAACTTCATTATATTGAATATTTGTTCAATATAACTTTGTAGAAAGTTAGTCCTTTATTAGAGCTACCTTCAGTCTTAATTTTATATCTGAATTCAACTTAAAAACTACCTTGGGGCATAGCATTTTCWCATTCTACCCAAGTTRAACATATYATTAGKTATCCATCAAAAGTACGTCTTAGCCAATCATACTTAAATATAGTTTGCCAATAACTGTCAGTATGCACTTGTAAAGATATGCACTATAAAAGGTAGATTGTAATTGTATAGTTCAGAGTTGAAGATACAAGCAAAGTGTAAGGGARGTTTTGTGGTGTTTTGTTAAAATAAAGAACCTTTGATCCAAGTACTGGCTCTGCTTGAGTAAATCCCACAGATTACAACCCTTGTAACAATTATTTTGAATAAGCCTCGGAGCTCATCCATTATCCTATACGTAGGCACATGCGCTCATTGAGCGTCTTTAATTAATTTTGTCTAAACTAACCCATTGTTTCTTACGTGTTATTGTTTTTCCTCTATTCTGCTCAGGGAATGCTTTCTTCTAGARAAAGAATAATTCGTTCTGCTCAAGGAATGCGGTCTATTCGGGGAATACGTTCTGCACAAGGAATACGTTATTAGTGGGTGAATGCGTTCTACTCGGGTAGTTGGTTCGACTGCTGAAATGCGAGTCTAATCGGGGAATGAGTCCTGCTTAAAGGAATGGTTTTTACACGGCGAATAGGGTTTGCTCAAGGCAGGGAATGCGTTTTATTCAGGGACTTGTTTTGTTAAGAGAATGCCGTTCTGCTAAAGAGGAATGCGCCCGGCTCATGACATGTGTTCCGCTCAGGGAATTTATGCCGGAGGCATGCCACTCAAAGAGCAAGAACTATTAAGTGCTTTATTCAACAATGCCATCTGTYAATGAATTTCAATTTCATGCAATGCGTTAGTTATGACAAAAGTTTGCCATGCCGAAAAAGAGTCATTTGGCTATGAGAATACTTTATTTGCGATTGCATCTTAAATTCATTCAAGACATCTTTACATGGATCACTACAAGCTTTCCAGACCTACCATCCACTACAAGAAAACCTCCATCTGGCAAGGATACGATRTCGATTGGAGTCATTTTTACCTGTGTTTTCCCGATAAAGTGTCCCTCCAGGTTAAATAACTTCACACTACCATCATCTTGATCACATACTGCCACATTCCCATCACTACTTATAGCTATGCCATTCAGTGATTTTATACTACTGTCCCTATCCCCCTTAGTTTCAATAGTCCATATAGGCCCATCATTCTGGTCTATAATGTGTATGTCATTGTTAAGTGCGTCTGCAACAAGCAATAAGTGATTGTAACAAACTGTTCTGGAAGGAAGGACCCATTGGTCATCGTCTTGTCGGAATGAGTACTCCTTGACTAGCTTCATGGTCTTTCTGTGGAATATTTGTATACGATGATTATACGTATCACTAACAATGATGTCATTATCATTGTCTATCGATACGCCCCAAGGGCTTTTGAACGGTTTGTTTCTATGGGATTTTTTCCCTATGCTGCTCACAAATTTTCCTGTTAGTGTATTRAAGACCTGTACACGGTGGTTGTCTCGGTCAGCCACTGCAAGTTCACTCTCATCCAGGAACGCAATTCCGTCTGGGCAACTAAGTTTTCCTTGCTTTGTTCCCGCTTGACCTATTGTCTTAATCAACTCGCCATTACTACGGAATATCACTAAACAATGTGATTCTGCGTCAGACACTGCAATTTTAGTAAAGTTTTTAGTTACTGCGATCCCACATGGACACTTGAGGCCTGCAGTTCCAACATCRATTTCACGCATAATTTTCAACGTTTGAGGTCCAACTTTTATGGTAAAAGGACTATTTTGGACGCTTTTACCGTTGATTTTGGCTTGAATAATAAACTTGCCACAAATTTTTGGCAAAAAGYTGATGGTGAATTTTCCGGCTTTGCTTTCTGCAACGATTAGTTTTTCAACATGCAAAGCCGGCCAGACATCAATGTCTAAAGACCGAAAGGGTACAATGCATGGTCTTTTGTCAGTAGTGTTCGTCTGCAAAGTCATATGAACAGTCGATAACGCTTCAAACGAAGCTTGTGGAACTTCGAGAAAACTTTGCAAGGAATCAACATCTTCAATTATGTAAACATTTCCGATATCTAATGTCTTTAAGTCAAGTGCTTCCTCGCTAGGGTAAAATCTAATGGAAGGGTCCAAGTACTTGTTTTCATTCTTCAACACATGGCTGTCTTTATTTAGAAAGTCATGCACCGTTTCATCCGTTCCACTTAATGTTTGGAGAAGCTTGTTTAACCGTTCACGTGTTTGCTGAATCTCTTTAACCTGTGTTTCCTGCAATGCTTTTGCTTTCTTTACCTTCGTTAGTAATCTGTTTTTCAGTCCATCAATGTCTTGTAACAGTTTCTTCTTACTCTGGTTGATGGCTGTGGTTAGTTGGCTCGCAAATAATGTCACCTGTTGAATCGCTTTCTCCGAATTCTTAAGAATCTGTTTAGTCTTGTCTTCGAGCTCATCGACTATGTTTAGAACTTGTCTTTCTTGTAGTTCAAGAAGTTTTATTTTCTCGTTCATATATTCCCTCGAAGTGCTCATCTCGTACATTCGCCATGTGACGAGACGTAAATAACAATAAGRAAAATCAATGAATGGAATCCAACTGTTGCGTTCATTCGAGCTTTGCGTTGGCGAAATGCATGCCCGCCAATATATTCCCACAACGCCAAAACATTCCACACAAAAAATCCTTCAGTTCATGTAGTCTTTTCCAAAGACATTATCAGATGAAAAGTGTAATTTCCTTAAAACCAGAAGAGACTTAGGTACAACTTCTAAATAGTTGAAACTGCTTATCAATTCGCGTCTTCGAAAAAAAAAAAACGCGTAGGATGCTGAGACGGGAGACTCGGTTCTACGTGTAACGTCATCGCTGGTTACGTGGAATGAGGGTGTAGGAATGTGYATTATATTTGTACAATCAATAAATATAAATACGCTTACACTTACATCATGTACAACGTAGGACTCTTACAAATATAAGAAATATATMAAATTACGTCGATAAAGTATATTTGGACGTTTCGATTCGACTAAAAAAATGTTCGTGTGCCATAGCTATTAGATGTATTAGTGTAAATATCTCGTTTTTCTGCTCGACTGAGCCCTTTGTTTGCGTTTCGTTTCAACAAGTAGTAACACAACAAAGCCTTTAATCCGTTATAAGGCCAATTCATYGGGAAATGCCGTGAGGTTTTGTTTTACTTACATTTATTCGAATGACGTCCTTATGACACGAAAGGAATGTCGGTGATTACAGTGTTGAATAAATATAGGTCTTTCATCGATTATTATATGACAGAGTCTATTTCAAATGACGCATTATTTCATTAGAAGTCATGATGGTGATAGATATAAACTGTATATAACTTCGGGAAACGACTGTTCATAATACAGTTAAAATTTTATTAAAATATTGTGCTTAGTTATATTATCGATCGGTCTTAATTATGACATGAAATAGGCAGCCATTTTCGTAGTAGAGTTTTATTCCTTCGGCACTCGTTAGCATTCAATTCGCTATGGCCTCACAGTCCAGTTAGCACTTGCTATTTTTGTAACGCGATTGTCGCGCGACCATCGCCTGAGTTTCGAACATGCTTCAAATTTAGCTGCAACGTCGAGGCGATTGACTCACGTATTACACGTACGATTAGAGTTGTGCGATAGCAAAGTTGCGATTATCGCGCGACAATCGGGCTGCAAAAATCGCAAGTGTAAACCGGCCTTTTAAAAGTGAAGATGAAACGTGAAAGAAATACCAATGGTGTACCTACAGAACCTGACATGGTAGTGATACGATGGCCATCTTGAAACAAAAGGCATTATGGGACGCTCAAGTGTCAAAACAAAACAAAAATGTCTGATCATAAATAAACTCTTCACTTGTTAATTCTTGCATTTCCACTTGTTACAGTAATTCGTCTCTCGTCAAATTGTTTTGTGACGAAAAAACATCCACGTAGTTCATTTATATCATATAAAAGATAGTAGTTAGTACTCTTCTCAAAATGGCCTCCGCAAACAGACTCTACTCTAACTAAATCTAATCGCGACCCCACTGGCTATCCGAAAATCGATGTCATGGCGATGAATAAATAAATGAAAAGGCCAGTAGATCATGTACTCTTAGTCATGTTAAATGACTTTCACATTGAGAAGATCGTCATTAGTTCCAACTGCAACACAATTTTCCCACGACCGCAGAAATTCATATCGTCTTTTGATCCCGTATCATAAGAAATCCTCTCTTATATCGCCTAAATGTTCACTGATATCATCGTAATGTAGCGTTGCTACACTTTTATCGATAAGAAGTTGGACGATGGCTTCGTACTTAGACGTRTCACGACGAAGAAGCGTACCAAACTAAAACAAACATTACAAAAGCAAGATTCAGAACAACATTGGTCTTTATAAAATAACTTTCATATTACGCGCGCTCTGATTGGCCAAAAAKCCGTGTTTCATGAGAGCATAATACACGCTCGCGTCATTTTTTTCTCAGCATTTTTTTCTCATGAATATTTGAGCGCTTATTATTTTATGAAAGCAATAAAAAAACAGTTTTCCGTGTATTATACTCTGATAAAAACACGCGGGATGTGGGAGAACACGAGAGAAGCGTAGGAAACCACRACGCGAATTCCTTAAATTTAGTCTGTTTACTTGTCGAATTTTCCGTGCAGGTTTTCTTTTTCTGCGCGGAGTTTTCCAAGAGCAATACCTCAAATGCTTCAACATATCATTTATTTATAGACTTTCGTTAATAACTACAATTATATTTTTAGTGGCGCCACATTTTGTTGTGAGATTGTTAACAATGTAGCTAAAAATTTCTTTCCCAGGAAAAAAAATTCGTACAAGAACAGTTATTTAGAAAACAGACCCCCGTCGGGGGTCTATCGAATACCCCGCAAAAAAATGCATCATATGAACGAAGGCTACGGCTACAGGTCAAAATAAATACATTGGAATTCCTGTATTCACAGAAAGAAGTAAAGACAATGACCAGTCTTCCTGTGTCTCTTATAGAACGATGTCTTCCTGTGAAGTGACCGGTCTTGCTGTGTTTTTTTTTTATAGAACGAAGAAAACATTATGACCTGTAGCCGGCTACATGGCTACACCAGCTACAGKTCAAAATAAAGTGAACGGTCTTGCTGTTTTTTAACTCGAAGATTGCGTTAGCAATCGAAGAGTTATTGTGGGGGAACGATCTGTCACTCACCAAGTCACTCACTCACTTTCCTGTAAACTGCGTCGTTGCCTTAGTAACTGCTATTTTTTGACTTATTAATTTTTAATTATTCATCTTCACGGTCTACCTGTTTCTTTTATTTATTTTTTTTTTTCGAAGAGAAAGAAACTCATGTACAACAAGAGGCTGCTATGCATGAGCATGCGCGCAACCGCTGCGTTATAACGACCATGGGCTCTAGAATACGGGTAGAATAACATTGTAGTACATTATTACATTATGATATTTGATATATAGTTTATTGTGTGGTTAGATATCGATAATACTTTTCGCTACGGAAACTGGCAAACACTCGTAGTACAATGGTGCCGTACATAAGTAAGCATTAAGAATTGCTGGGAAAAATAATTTATAATAAAAAAAAGAAATAATAAAAAAAGATYATTTCYTGGGACTCGAACCGGGGCCGTCTGCACTCAAAGACCACGTTTTATCCACTGGGCTACGATGGCAAATTACTTAATYWTTTGGCTAAGACTGGGATTTATTTCGCCGACGCTMGCTAGCCTCCGTAAGCACGAGAATCGAACCGCTTGGGATGTCTGCTTTAAGGAGGCAATTATCCATAACCGAAGTTAAAAT